CCTACATTGTCATATATTGCTTATACAGCAGTCACTCAAAGGCATCCAAACTAAGAATCCAAGTGGGAACACATTAGAAGTGCAATTCACTTTCCAAAAACCTTCCAAAGAGAAGATCCTCCTTCCACCCTTTCACAGTTCACTTTGAGCAAAATCTTACGCATAGCAGGAGGAAGGTTTCCTGTACACAAAAATTAGATTTAAACCAAAAAGTAATATTTCTGTGGGGCCTAAGGTAGAAACTCCATAGTAGCAGGGCATGAAATTTTCTGTGTAAGAGCCTTTGAAATTTGTGGGTTTTCTGTATATTTTAAATAAATTTTACATTAAGCAGTTGAACCTTTCTGTTGCATTACATTCTATTAAACTGGCCTTTTTAGAAAACACACTGTTCATACAGTGGGTCACTCTGAGATGCAGTTTCTATGAATCTATATGATTTACGATGTGTCCGGTATACTTGCCTCACATATTTAGCATACCTATATATACATGTGAACAAAGTATCTATAGTATCTTAATAATATCTGACTATTTTTTCAGTCTAAACTTTGTGTATACTTACTGTTTAGTAAAATAGTCACTGGTTTTCTTCTGCTTTAGTGCTTATGTACTAAAGACAGCAGCAGGTCACTGCAAGTGGGCACAAGTTCTGGAAGATTTGCAGCAGATCAAGACATCCAAAGTAAGTTCATTAAAAAAAAGTCACCATTTCATATAATTATAGGAACAGACACAATGAAATATTTAGCACTGTACTCAGCTAAGAAGCATCAGTGACAGGGAGCTGGAAAAGGGACAGTGTTTATATAACGCTGTTTCATGGGTGGAAGCTAAGGAATAGAATGTTAAAGGGAATTGGAGCTGACCACATACCGTGGACTCTGGAGTTAAATACTATTTTCTTTCCCACTTTTCAAAAGATAAGGGGTAGTGAGCTCCTTCAGACAAAGTATTGTGACACTTGATTCTGATGAGTCCTCCTCACAGTGAAGCCCATCCTGCAGGTTACTAGGTCACTTGAAGATCCCTTGACCTGCTGGCTCCCAGTACCTGCATGGACTGAGCCTTTGAACTTGGAGCTAATCAATGTCTCGCAGAGTTAGCTTTATTATCTCTAAATCTGTTAGTTAATGTTCATAATACTAACTTTCACTTTCTTTTAGGACATTGACGTCAGTTTATATACTGCAAATGCAGATGAGGATGTAAGTAAATGTAAAATTTGACCCCAACTGGCCTAATATGGTAGCTTGATTGCTTTTGTAGCAACTTTCTCATAAGTCAGTCTTGCACTAATTTGAGAAAATTTTCAGAAATCAAATAATTTGCCTTGAAAGGAACAGCTAGTTAAAGTTAAGTACTTATGGTAAATTATGGAAGCAGGTATTAACCTGCTATTAAAATTAATCAATTAAAAGGGATGATTCAAAGTGATCCTACCATAGCAAACACTGCTAAAACAACGCATTTATTTGTGATTTGAGGGAGGAAAAAAGTGACCAAGAAAAGACTTTCAAAGATGATTATTTAGCACGATGCACTATTTATGGAATAAAACACTGGAGAAATGGAATATGAAGAATAACTGACACCATCTACCTTTATGCCTTTCTGCTTTGGCCATTCTTCAGCTTAGCATCAAATACCTAGGTACACTCAAAGATTTAGATTTCCAAGAGTTGCAAATTACACTTGATCCTGCAAAGAATGACTTATCTTAATTTGTCAGTTAAACTCCTAATACGGTCATAGAAATCCAAGAAAATATGATCATCTTAAATGTAATTTCCATAACTTCATTCCTTTTTCATGATCTGTTGCTGTGGAGCTCAGTCTGAACTCCATGAGACACAGGCACCCCACCAAAAAAAATGAGTCCAGCCAATATCCCACTCCCAGCAGTCACTGTTGGTATGGCCCTGGTGCAACCGGCTGGATTCATCGCCGTGGTAGGAGTCTGCTTCCAAGCCAGAGAGTTTAATCCATTGTAATGGCTGATTTAGCATTTGGTAATGTCAGGAACATTTTATTAAGGTGGGACAGTCTGATATGAAAGTCAGACAACCTCAGACTCATTCTGAGCTTTATTGTTGATCTGGAAAAATTATTACCTCTGCTTCTTTTCCATTAATTTGTGAAATAGAGGTGAGATCTACTTTGTCTTCTCCCATACCTATTCTGAATTTGGATCTCTGAATGAAAGTGCTGGAACTACTACTACTAGTAATAACTTAATTCCACTCTATTTAACTATAATCCAAATCAGTATCCTAATTCATTATTTTCCTATGTCCAAGAGACTACGTTTCACCTCATTTTAGCAAACTGGCTGGCTTTGTTGTTAGCTCTCACAGCCAATTTGCAGATATTTAAGAGTATTCGAGTATTAAGAGATAGTCAATAAATAAAAATCCACTTTGTGGCAAATTATGTCAATTTAGACATTGGTCTATTCCTTTTTAATTATAAAGCTATTATAACTTTATTTTTTTTCAGAAAGACTGTCAAGAACTTGTAATTAGATGCTTTTTCTTAGAGACAGAAGTGATTCTTCAGGAATGTCGTATAAAAAACTGTAGTAAAACACAGGATGTATACAACATATGGAAAAATGGAAATGCAAGCTTAGAAGATAGCAAGGTAAGTAATACCAATAATCTGTGGAAAAAAGGTAAATCAAAAGTGTTTCTTCAGTAGCAGAAATACCTCTTTTTGTATAAAAAGTGGGATAGTACAGTTGAAAGCAGATGGGGTCCAGGAGCCTGTACAGGTAAGAATGAAAAAGCCCACATACAACAACGAAAAATAAGAATTTAGTGGGTTTTATTAAAAAAAAATTCAGGATTCCCAGCAAAGCCAGTACTTTTGACTGCACATACATACGTATATCAGGGTGTTTGAATGTGTATGTATAAATAACAGTTTTCAACTTCAGTCAGTTATGTTCATACACATACAGAAAAGTATCCTAATTTTCAAATGGACATCCACTCTCATCTCTCATTGAGGTGCTGTATCTCTGAAAGCTGATCCTATTCAGAGAGCAAGCCAGGGGCTGCACAGACCCTAAGTACTGTGGAAGCCTCTAGCAATGCTTTCTGTAGCCACTGACCTCACTGGAGTTATTCACAAAGCCAGGACAAATAAAGGTGAGTTTTTTATCCTAACAAATAGATCAGCATCCTGCTTTACTATTGCATTTTGTTTTTCAGTTGAATTCCACAACATCAGCAAAATGCAAAGAATGCGAAGAGTATGAAGAAAAAGGTTTTACAGAATTTATACAGAGTTTTTTAAAGGTTATACAGAGGCAATGCAAACACTGACCAAAAGACACAAGCTGGGAACCAAGATTCTTCCATGAACCACCTCAGAGAAATTAGATTATCAGCAACAATATACTGTAAAAACATCACAATTCTACTTACATAGCATAAAATGTAAACAAAGAACAATAAAATCCCTGTAATTTACAGCGTGCTCGTAACTGAATATATACAAATTATATTACTTATGAAATGTAAATTAAAGGAATTTAACAGGGTTTAAAGTTTATTCTCGACTTAAAGTGTTTTTATTTTTAGGAAGTCCACTAGAAAAGAAATCCCGCCTAACTTAGCAACCTTTCAACAAAGTTCTTTAAGATCTCAGGGCAACCTCCTTATGAACATCAGCTCAGGGCAAACTGAATGAGGTTTCAGAGAAAAGCTCTTCTTTCATTACTATTAATATAAAAATTATCGTACCCTGTTAAAACATTTGGATATAGCTACTTTTGCTGTCTGAAGTTTCTCCCTTTACCATCTGTGTTCCTAGAAGATTCTAGATCATCTCTCACTTCTGTTGTTAGTCTTGTCTGACAGTTTTCCTTGCTATTTTTTTTTCTCTTTAACATTCCTTTAATGAACTAGCGCCAAAACACAAGGTGAGGCCTGTTTGTCTTTAAGGTGTATTGGCTATCTCTTAATATATTTATTTCTGCTGTGGTTTTCAGGTAAACCAAATGAATTGTTTTACCTACAAATCCAAAGTAAAAAAAAATAAAATAAATAGAATCTTTATCTAAAGATTCTTCTTCGCCTTTTCCTCCTTTTGTACAACTGTAGCACAATGTTATTAAAAACTGTCTCCAGTTTTCTCAGCAGAAGGTAATGCTGGTGTTTGCTTCCACTGTCAAACAACAGAACATGCTTTGTTACTTCATTTGTTACGTCTAACACAGACACTATCATAGTCATGATGATAATTTCTAAAGGAACTGTAGCAATTATCTTAGATCTCAATCTGAAATTCAAGCAAAGTAGCATAAATTTCATTTTCTGAATAAAGGACGTGACCAAGTCTCTTACACACTTAAAACCCCATAAATTCTGTCACAGAAATCTTTCCTATGTGATAGAGTTTGTAACTTTGATCATTCGAGGTAAGAACTTGGAAGGCAGGCATCACTTTTGACCAGTTATTGGAAATCGTGCTAACTGTATTTCTAAGTCTCAGTGCAGTCACCCGTCCCCTGGTGGTTCTGAAATGTTGCACAGCTGTCTTGCAGCTCCTTCGAAATTAACTGCTTTCTTCTTGATTCAGAACTACATCATACCAACTCCTACCCGTAACAAGTAATTCTTCCCCGAGGCACATCCACTTCCCCATCTTCATTTGATAGATGGCTGAATAATTCAGCTGCCCACTGTCTCAATCTCATTATGGCACCAAATACACTGCCTGGGGCTCCCTTACTGTTGGGTTACTCCCAGCAGCCCATGTTCTGAGCTCTGTGGAGCTGAATCACCAGTGAACTACAACAGAAAGAACACAGGTGTGAGCACAGTCAACGTCATCTTCCAGGTGGTTTACAGACTGTTTGGTAAATTCATAAGCACATTGGTATCATGATTAAGCACTGGCAGAAGCACCACAGGAGAAATTAATTATTTGCCACTGTAAAACATCAATGAAAGAAGTGTTTATTACATAGTTTAGATGAAGTGAACTGGTCCTATACTTTACATTTTTCCTTAAAACATTGGTATGCACTGAGTATGATTTTCTCTCACCTGATATCACATCCATAGATAGGGTAACATTGAGTTACAACTGTGGTCTTTAATTAAAGCCATAAAGGCTTTTTCTTTATTTCTAGCTTTGAGTGAAGTTAAGAAATAGTCCAGCAGTATTCACAACGGGAGAAACAAAAAGTTTCTTTCCTCAAAAAGTTTTATTTACTGATTGATTATTAATAATATTTTTATTTACTTATATACTTTTGTATGTTAAATACTGTGAATTTTTCTTTCAGAAGTAATAATGCTAAGTCTGAAACCACTCAGCTTGCCATGCTGTTAGCTGCTTTGTGTTGGACATTGGCCACATCTCTCCTGTTTCATTTCACCTCCACCTGTCCCAGATGTATGTTCTAGAACCAAAAAAGGTCATTGGCTAATCTAGCTCTCCAGTATTTCTCCTGGGGTTTTCCTTTTCCTGAGAGCTAAACTGCCAGCTGAAAGCTTTACTACATCTTCAATTATATGGTTAAAAAAAATTATCTGATCAGTATAAAGGATGGACTAAATTAAAGTTAGGTTGGTTTTTTTTTTAGTGAGGAAATTCATATATATCCCAGAGGAAAAGATTCAATATGACCAAGACCTGCATGAATCTGATTGGATCTGTTAATACTGTAGGCAGAGCAGTAAAAATTAATTTAGTGTGCCTACTTTGGAAGTAAATGTCCCTAGGTTGAGGAATGTATCTTTTCCTTCACAAGGTTTAGTCATTTGCGTGGCATTTACTATCTAATCTTTTCCAACTACTGTTAGTAAATGTTAAGAAAAAGGTTAATACTGTATTTTCTCAAATCAATCAACATTAATAGCTCTGTCCACCTGTGACATCGCCCACATTAAACCAGGAAAGGGAATCAGGCAAAGACATCCACAAGGATGCAGGGCACTCACCTTGGATTTAGCGGACTGTAGAACTACAACATCTGTAATGCAGCTGTTTAGGCAAATGAGTTGATTAGCACTTGTATGTGTAATTCACACACCTGGAATGGGTAGCGATGTGATCATCCAGTGCTATGTTTTGTGGAAGATCTAATTTGCAATGTGCCTCTGCCCTAGTCAGTTTACCTGGACCTTGTTGCATTTCTCATAGGAAGAATATGGAACAAATATATAGGAACAATATTTATTAAAGTCTTCTAAGATGAGCCCAGCTGTAATTATCAATAACTCTAGTATTATAAGATTTGCTTTTATCACAGTTATACTCAAAGGTGACCAAGTTGTCAACCTCTTCCTTGCAATATTGGAAACACAGGAAAAATGAAACATGCGTTACAGGAATGCAAGAAAACAGGAGGAAGGAAAAGAAACTGAGAGACACCTTAAATGATAACAGTGAAAGCAAAATTATTCCAATTTACTGTGAATCTACTGCATCAATTCTTTCTGAGTAGCAGAATTTTGCAAGGAGTTGGATGGAAATAAGGATTTCCATTCCACAATTTCAAAGTTAAACTATACATTTGAAATATTACTTCCCACAACAAATCATTCATGTCTTCCCCCTGCCAGGCAGAAGGGGCTTTTGGAAGACTGGAAATCCCCAAGTCCCTGAGCCAAGGCCTCGATGGAATGTCTTGGCAGGAAGATTAAGAATGTGAAAATGAACTAGTTGCTTTGAACAAGTGGATAAAGCCAAAGTACAAGACACAAACTTCATTGCCTCCTTTGACTAGAATTGGTGTTCTTGAGAATAGAAAAAGTATTAATTTTTATCCAAAGCAGCCTTCACTTCCAGTTCATCCATACGAAGGCGTACCTTACTAGCAACAGAAACAGCACTGCATACCAAAATTTCTGTACAGCCTCAGCAGACTGATCAACATGACATTGAGCCATACATAAAAGTGGACTGTTCTGTAGCGTGTAAAGAATTATGTGTTCTCTAGAGGCAGAGAAAAATGAAGTAAGTTTGGTACTATGCTCTCTATGGAATAATACTTCCATGCACTTAAGAAGGAAGATAAAGCCATAAATGAGTAGGTTATATATTTCGTAATAAGATCAGGTCAGCATCTCCAAGACTGTTTCTTTCCAACTATATTCCTTCCAAACCTGGAAATGTTGGAGAATCCTCATCTCCTTATCAAAAGACTTTCTTAGGACAGAATGGGCAAGTGCAATAAAGAATGAAACATCTGTTTAAACGACTGACTTATCTGTACCATAGCACAGGCAGATCACCACCTCTAAAAGTGAAAAATGTATAGGAGAAAAAGGAATGACGTTAGAACATAAACAGAAATCAGGGGTAAATCTGGGAAATTTCTTGAGAAATACCTGAAGTTTATTTAATTTTAGCATACAAAGGAACATCTTAACCTGCTTCTCTTCCTTCTGAGCCTGAATCAGATTTTTCAGAGATGGTTGGTGACTAACTAGTGGGTAAAAGCTTTAAAGTCTCAGTCAGAAGGTAAATGGGGAGGGAAGCAATTGAAGAAATTTCAGGAGTTATCTAAGACGTGAGGCATAATCATAAGAACATGTCCTCATGGACAAAGGAAATTAATTGATGTAAATACATTCATCCTCAACTAATTTGTTAGAGTCCATTTGTAACAGCATACATCCAGCAGAAATGGATCATGACAGAGTCACTATCAACTGTGACTCTAATTCTGTGTCACCCAAGAAAAGATTTCAATCTTTCATCCTATTCCTTAAACATCTATTTTCCTGGGGAGTATAAATGGGTTTTTACTCCAGTGGGATGTGCCCACAACTCTTTGAAATTTCTGAAATCAAAAATTTACTTAAGATTTAGTTTCTAATACAGCTAGTCTCTCATCATATTCAAATTTCCCAGGCAAGAAAACACAATAGCATGGTTTCACCTCCAGACTGCAATTCCACAAAGTTCGGAAGCACAAACTTCACCCCTTTGCGTCTTTTCTTAGTGAGACTCAATACTCCTCCAGGCTTTCCACTTCCGTGTATACAGGTCAGAGTTCATTTGCTATGTGCAATTACAGAAACTCTGTAATCACTCAGATAAGCCAACCTGCTCTGTGGCTTAAAATACCCTCCAGTAAGCTCACTTTTCAATGTCTCGCATCAATCACATGTGCAGCATTTCCTGTTGAGTAGATCGTATTTGTCAAAGTTATGAGGTTTAACAAAGTTTGCAGCTGACTCGAAGTTCTGCCTTCCATCATTTCTCCCTGTGCCATCAGGCTCCTCAGAACTGAGACTCAGTAATTCTGATTTCCTGCTTTGCCGTTACATTTGTATACAAAATATTGCCTTCTTTAAACTTGATG